CAACATCTACCCCCTGCCCTCATCGATCATTCTGCTCCCAAACCATTTGAGAGGAGGATATTACAAACAAACGTAGGTGTATGTGGACCTGCTTAATTGTTTCTCTTTCATAAATTTATTTTCTTTAATATAGCTGTTACTGCAACCATTTTTAAAAAATGGGCTTTGCTGCACTCTGTCTTGAATTCCATCAGTTTTATTTCCTGTGGGTTGAATTTGCGTGTGGTGTGGGCCTGAGCAAAGGATAGTCTCTGGATGTTTGGACTTCCTTTTTCTGGTTCCTTTAAAAAAAGACTCATTTTATTGTTTGAGCAACTGAACATAACACCACCTTAGCAAGCAGCTTAGTCGACCTAAAACCGGATTTATTCTAAGTAATGTGTGAATCCACCTAGTTTCACAATCAGACAAGTCTGTGTTTTGACTAGCAGTGTGGGGATAGGAGGGAGGTGTTTGTTAATATTTGAACACAGGCTTTTGTGAAATATAGAAATGGAATAGGAATTGATGGTACATGTGCAGATGTAAAACTAGCTCACATGGTGTGTATGTGTCAGTTGGGTATAATTATAACATTTAAAAGACATTTGGATAAGTGTTATGAATAGGATAGGTTTGGAGTGAGATGGGCCAGGAGCAGGCAGGTGGGGCGACTTTATTTTGGGACCATGATGGGTCCCTCCACATCATTTCTGTTTTTTAAGTTGTGAGAGTGAGTTTGTTAACACAAATGCAGAGTAGATTGACAGCCTCAGGATATTATTGTAAACTTTTCTTTGTTTAATGTCTTTTGTTAATAGCTCAATGATTATCTACACATGATGAAGAGAAGTCGTGCTTATAGCTGCTGTTCTTGATGATGTGTTCAGATTTTGTTTGGACAACAACTTCAGGTTACTCTGCTAGTCAGAGTAGAAATGAAAGAATAGGCAGGATAAATGAATGGGTTGAGAGATGGTGCAGGAGGGAGGGGTTCAGAATTTTGGGACATTGGGACCGCTCCTGGGGGAGGTGGGACTATTACAAATCGGACGGTCTACACCTGGGCAGGACTGGAACCAATGTCCTAGGGGGTGCTTTTGCTAACGCTGTTGGGGAGGGTTTAAACTAATGTGGCAGGGGATAGGAACCAAATGAGGAGGTTAGTGGACAGTAAGGAGGTAGTAACTGAAGCCTGTAAGAAACTAGATAATGAAGTCAGTGTGACTAAGGGGAAGAGTAGGCAGAAAGCAGATGATGAACGCAAAGGGACAGGTGGTCTGAGGTGCATTTGTTTTAATGCGAGGAGTGTAGTAGATAAGGCAGAAGAACTTCGGGCTTGGATTAGTACCTGGGAGTATGATGTTATTGCTATTACTGAGACTTGGTTGAGGGAAGGGCAAGATTGGCAACTAAATATCCCAGGATATAGATGCTTCAGGTGGGATAGAGAGGGAGGTAAAAGGTGTGGAGGAGTTGCAATACTGGTCAAAGAGGATATCACAGCTGTGCTGAAGGAGGGCACTATGGAGGACTCGAGCACTGAGGCAAAATGGGCAGAGCTCAGAAATAGGAAGGATGCGTTAACAATGTTGGGGCTGTACTACAGGCGTGAGATAGAGGCAGAAATATGTAGACAGATTATGGAAAGATGTAGGATCAACAGGGTGGTGGTGATGGGAGATTTTAATTTTCCCAACATTGACTGGGATTCACTTAGTGTTAGGGGTTTAGATGGAGCAGAATTTGTAAGGAACATCCAGGAGGGTTTTCTAGAGCAGTATGTAAATAGTTCAACTCGGGAAGGGGCCATACTGGACCTGGTGTTGGGGAATGAGCCCGGCCAGGTGGTTGAAGTTTCAGTAGGGGATTACTTTGGGAATAGTGATCACAATTCCATAAGTTTTAGAATACTGATGGACAAAGACGAGAGTGGTCCTAAAGGAAGAGTGCTGAATTGGGGGAAGGCCAACTATAGCAAAATTCGGCAGGAGCTGGGGAATGTGGATTGGGAGCAGCTGTTTGAGGGTAAATCCACGTTTGATATCTGGGAGGATTTTAAAGAGAGGTTGTTTAGAGTCCAGGACAGACATGTCCCTGTGAAAATGAGGGATAGAAAGGGCAAGATTAGGGAACCATGGATGACAGGTGAAATTGTGAGACTAGCAAAGAGGAAAAAGGAAGCATACATAAGGTCTAGGCGACTGAAACAGACGAAGCTTTGGAAGAATATCGTGAAAATAGGACCAATCTGAAACAAGGAAATAAGAGGGCTAAAAGGGGTGATGAAATATCATTAGCAAACAGGGTTAAGGAAAATCCCAAAGCCTTTTATTCATACATAAGGAGCAAGAGGGTAACTAGAGAAAGGGTTGGCCCACTTAAGGACAAAGGAGGGAAGTTATGCGAGGAGTCAGAGAAAATGAATGAGATTCTTGATGAGTACTTTGCGTCGGTATTCACTGAGGAGAGGGACATGATGGATGTTGAGGTTAGGGATAGATGTTTGATTACTCCAGGTCAAGTTAGCATAAGGAGGGGGGAAGTGTTGGGTATTCTGAAAGGCATTAGGGTGGACAAGTTCCCAGGTCCGGATGGGATCTATCCCAGGTTACTGAGGGAAGTGAGAGAGGAAATAGCTGGGACCTTAACAGATATCTTTGCAGCATCCTTGAGTACACGTGAGGTCCCAGAGGACTGGAGAATTGCTAATGTTGTCCCCTTGTTTAAGAAGGGTAGCAAGGATAATCCAGGTAATTATAGACCGGTGAGCCTGACGTCAGTGGTGGGGAAGCTGCTGGAGAAGATACTGAGGGATAGGATGTATTTACATTTGGAAGAAAATGGGCTTATTTGTGATAGGCAGCATGGTTTTGTGCAGGGAAGGTCATGTCTTACCAACTTGATAGAATTCTTTGAGGAAGTGACAAAGTTGATAGATGAGGGAAGGGCTGTAGATGTCATGTACATGGACTTTAGTAAGGCGTTTGATAAGGTTCCCCATGGTAGGCTGATGGAGAAAGTGAAGTCGCATGGGGTCGAGGGTGTACTAGCTAGATGGATAGAGAACTGGCTGGGCAACAGGAGACAGAGAGTTGTAGTGGAAGGGAGTTTCTCAAAATGGAGAACTGTGACCAATGGTGTTCCACAGGGATCCGTGTTGGGACCACTGTTGTTTGTGATATACATAAATGATCTGGAGGAAGGTACAGATGGTCTGATTAGCAAGTTTGCAGATGACACTAAGTTTGTGGAGTAGCAGATAGTGAAGGGGACTGTCGGAGAATGCAGCAGAATATAGATAGATTGGAGAGTTGGGCGGAGAAATGGCAGATGGAGTTCAATCCAGGCAAATGCGAGGTGATGCATTTTGGAAGATCCAATTCAAGAGCGATCTATATGGTAAATGGAAAAGCCCTGGGGAAAATTGATGCACAGAGAGATCTGGGTGTTCAGGTCCATTGTACCCTGAAGGTGGCAACGCAGGTTGATAGAGTGGTCAAGAAGGCATACGGCATGCTTTCATTCATCGGACGGGGTATTGAGTACAAGAGTTGGCAGGTCATGTTACAGTTGTATAGGACTTTGGTTTGACCACATTTGGAATACTGTGTACAGTTCTGGTCGCCACATTATCAACAGGATGTGGATACTTTGGAGAGGGTGCAGAGGAGGTTCACCAGGATGTTGTCTGGTATGGAGGGCGCTAGCTATGAAGAGAGGTTGAGTAGATTAGGATTATTTACATTAGAAAGACGGAGGTTGAGGGGGGACCTGATTGAGGTCTACAAAATCATGAGGGGTATAGACAGGGTGGATAGCAAGAAGCTTTTTCCCAAAGTTGGGTACCCAATTACTAGGGGTCACGATTTCAAGGTGAGAGGGGAAAAGTTTAAGGGAGATATGCGTGGAAAGTTCTTTACGCAGAGGGTGGTGGGTGCCTGGAACGCGTTGCCAGCAGAGGTGGTAGAGGCGGGCATGATAGCATCATTTAAGATGTATCTAGACAGATACATGAATGGGCAGGGAGCAGAGGGATACAGATCCTTGGAAAATAGGCGACAGGTTTAGATAGAGGATCTGGATCTGCACAGGCTTGGAGGGCTGAAGGGCCTGTTCCTGTGCTGTAATTTTGTTTGTTCTTGTTCTTTGTTTTTATGTGTTTGTAGCAATAACTGATTTTAAAAATATTATCAAATGGTGGCTTTTAAGCAGGTCCACCTACGTATGTTTCAACGGTGTAAGCAACTAGGACAAAGCCCCAGATACCCAACACAGGCTTTTTTAAAGACTCTACCTTGACACTCAGTCACCCCTGTATCTGCCCCCAATCTGGTTCTGGGGTTGGTAAGACTGACTGGACCACACTTATCCAGTGGGGGTGAGAATTGGGCCCAATTAGATGTTTTCTGCTTAGTGGTGAAAGTCCAGCCCTATGACTGGTGACCTGGGTTTTGAGGAAGGGCATGAGGTGTGAGGTTTTGACAGGGAACTCCAATATTTGGGGCCTAGCTGGCTGAAGGCGTGGGTACCAAACGTGAGGCATGGGAAATCAGGGATGACAAGGAGGCCAGAGCGAGAGCATTGCCAGACAACAGCTACTTAAGACCATTCTAGCAAACTGTTCTTCTTATAAAACAAAAGACACTCTGATAATCTGTTGACAGCTTTGAGGGAACAAAAGTTTTTTTTATGAGTGCATCCTCCTGCAACCAACTACTCCTTTAAATCTATCTCTTTGACCAAACTTGTCATAGCACTCATCTCAAAATCTTATTTTGTTGCATAACATTTGTGCCAGTGCTGATGTAAGTTTGACTTGGGTCGCCAGAATTCCATTAAACACGTCTGCGCTTCCTTCATTTTTCTTGGATGTCAGGTGTGATTATTATTGTCGGTAATGCATCATCTGTGGCTATGACTCCTTAATTGTGTTTCCCTCGACATGCCCACATCTGCACGTCCCAGTCCATTGCATGCTTTGTTTTAATTAATTAACATTGAAATGTGTCATTTGGCAGGGAAAACGAGGACAGACTGAATGTGGTCCTACATTCGGTGAAGAGAACGTCATAACAGGCTGGATTGCACCAGAGAGTAATTAAACTCCAAACTTCCCACAGTCCTGACATGAGCAAGCAGCTTTTCCAAAATAAGATGATGTCAGGCCAACGCGTTGTTTCTGTACTTCTGCCAAACAAGGAACAACTTGAAGTTCTCATTGGGGTGAGTAGAAATTTCTTTGTGATGACAAAAAGGAGCTGACCGCAGCTTAGATTTTATTGCAACAGGAGTATCGATCAATTCATTTCCTGTTGTAAATCCTTAGGAGTTTCAGTATAGATGCTTGACACACACACACACACACACACAGAGTTAACTATGTGAATGTCGGTCAGTTCATTATATTACTGTGCTACTTGGTAATGTCGAAAGACATGTCTATCATCCGACGGTTGGCTGTAATGCACTGAGGTGTTCCTGGTTCCTGGACTGGCCACATTCTTATGATGCTGTGATAGCTACTGGTATTGCAGCAATTTAACAGCCTGGCTTAAATGTCAGGATCAGTTTGGATGGTAAACATAATCTAATACAAGCCAAGCACACGTTCAAACTAGGATTTCCCTATTCTTGGCCTCTCTAACTTTAATTTTATGTTATATTTTCACATTTTATACTTTTTTTTGACACTTTGTAATAGCGCCAAAGCAATATAATGTGAAATTAATATTTCATGCCTAGTTTTATATTTGTAAATACTTTTTGATATGATTTACCTGTGACCTCCTATGAAACGTCAGAAGCATTTTCTACATACCTAGTATTCAGCAGTCTGTAGAAACCTCAGTGCACTGTGACTGAAATGAGCAGATGTGCCATGAGGAATCCAGTTAGTAATTAATTAGTTGAGCATTAGTAAGAAAGTAATCTTAAAAGTCGATCTGAGCACCACGTTCTTTCTGCAGGACATTCACCCCTTCACTAACACCACCTCCTGATTGGAAGAAGTGAAATTCACTTTCAGGAGCGAAGCTACACTATTAAATAATGCGACATAGAAAAGACGAAGCAAAGTCTCTGAGCTGGGCTTTCTGTTCAAAGTACTCTCTCCCTCATACCTGTCTTAAATGGAAGCATCTTCAATATTTAACAATTGTTCATTTTCTGATTTCAGTGGCCTTCTAGTTTGAGCTGCTCAGATATAGGGCAGTGCTTGGATGGTGATAATGGCACCGAATGAGAAACCCAAAGACTCAGGCCAATGTTCTGGGAACATGGGTTTGAATCCCACCATGGCAGATTGTGAAAAGTCCAGAATAAAAAACAGTTTGCTTTTAAACATAAACATTTGATTCACTGATGTGTCTTGGGGAGGAAATCTGTTGTGTTTATATGTGAGTCCAGACAACAGCAATATGGTTGACTCCTAACTACACTTTGGGCAATTAAGGATGGGCAATAATTGATAGTCTAATCTGTAACTGATTTTTTTTTAACAAGACTGTTAGAGTGGCTGAAATCATTGGTCTACTTTATTTATTGCCATCTCCAGTGGAAATTATTAAATAGTGGTGATCATAATACTTCACGTTTTAGGTTTGTTATGGAAAAGGAAAGAGATGGTCTCCATAAAAACAGTTTTGGATTAGGTGAAGGCAGATTTAGTTAAAATAAGGCAGGATCTGACCAAAGTAGACTTGGAACAGCAACTTCTGGGTAAATCTGCAGCAGAACAGTGGGTAGGTGGGGATGAAAATGGAACCGTCAAGAGTACAGGCCCAACATGTTCTATTTGGGATGAAACATAAGAGAACAAACCCAGAGATTCCTGGATGTCTAGGGATACTCAGATCTGGATAAGAAGGAGGCCTTTAACAGGTACAAATAGAACAAATCATCAAAGGCCCTAGCAAATTGTAGAAAGTGAAGGTGAACTTAAAGCAACTAAGAGAGCAAAAAGGGCCATGAAGAAATACTGGCAAGTAAGATCAGGGAGAATCACAAGATATTTTGCAAGTACATCACGGGGATGAGGATAACCAGGGAAAGAGTAGGACCCATTTGGAACCAGTGGGGCAATGTGTGCATGGAGCCAAAGGATATTGGTAGGCTATTAAATGAATACCTCCCTTCTGTCATCACTCTGGAGAAAGAGGATATGGGTACAGAATTTGAGGAGCGGGATTGTGAGGTTCTTAAGCAGATTGACATATGGAGTGAGGGGATATTGGGGGTTAAAAGTGGATAATTTCCCAGGTCTGGATGAGTTTTATCCCAGGCTATTGTGGGAGGCAAGGGAGGAAATTACAAGGCCCTGGCCACAAGGGAGGTGCCAGAGGACTGAAGGACAGCTAATGCGGTTCCACTTTTCTAAAAGGGCAGTAGGAATAAATCAGAGAATTACAGACCAGTAAGTCTCACGTCAGTGGTAGAGAAACTATTGGAGAAATTCTGAAGGAGAGAATTAATCACTATTTGGAGAGATATGGTTCAATTAGGGATAGTCAGCATGGTTTTGTCAGACAGAGGTCATTCCTCACAAATTTGACTGGATTTTTTGAGGAGGTGACCAGGTGTGTAGATCAGGGTAGTGCAGTTAATGTAGTTATGGATTTCAGCAAAGCCTTTGTCAGGGTTTCACGTGGGAGATTGAGAAGGAAGGTAAAATGCTCAAGGAATCCAGGGTAACTTGGCAAGTTGGATCCAAAATTAGCTTAATGACAGAAGACAGGAGGTGGTGGTAAAAGCCTGGAGCCCAGTATCCCGTGGTATGCCATAGGGATCAGTGCTAGACCCCTTATCATTCGTGATGTATACAAATAATGGAAATGAAAACACAGGGTATAAGTAAGTTTGTGGATTGGCTAAATAGTTGACAGTGAGGAAAAAGGTCTTGGATTTTAGGAATATATAGATGGATTGGTCAGGGGCAGATGGAATTTAACCCTGGTAAATGGGAGGTGAAGTACTTTGGCAGAAGTAACAAGGCAAAGAAGTATGCGATGAATGGTGGTCACTGGGAAGCTCAAAGGGATCTTGGGGTGCTTGTCCATAGATACCTGAAGGTGGCAGGACAGGTTAATAGAGTAATTGAGAAGGCGTACAGACATGTGCCTTTATTAGTCATGGTGTAGATGGTAAGAATAAGGAGTTTATGTTGGAGCTGTACTGTACTTTAGTTAGGCCACAGCTGGCAGTTCTAGTCACTGCTCTGGAGGAAAGATGTGATTTGCACTGGAGAGGGTGCAGAGGAGATTAACTGGGATGTTGCCTGGGATAGAGCAGTTCAGCTATAGAGAGGAGCTGGATAGGCTCGGGTTGTTTTCTTTAGAGCAGGGACGGCTGAGGGGGCGCGGTGGGGTGCGGATCCTGAGGGGCATATGATTGAGGGGCATGAGCAGCGTGGAAAGAAGGCAGCTTTTCCCCTTAGCAGAAAGGTCAGTAATGATGGGGCATAATTTTAATGTGAGGGACAGGAGGGTTAGAGGGGATTTGAGGGAAAATCTTGGTGGGAATTTGAAATGTGCTGCCTGGAAGCATGGTTAAGATGGGCAGAATGTTTAATAAGTACTTGGATGGGCACGTGAAATGTCATAACACCCAAGGCTATGGGCCAGTTGCTGGAAAGTGGGACCAGTGCAGATTTAGAACAATTTTTTGGTTGGTGTAGATTTGATTGGGGTTCTTCTGTACTGTACGATTTCATGAATTCGGTATAATATCAGCAGATTCCTTAACCAATTCCTTAGCCAACAGCTGTACTTCCAGTCATACAGATAAGATTACAAGAGGTGGCAACCAAACAATGCTGTTTTGTTTCATCATCTATGTTTATATTTCACTGAAAGTTGTCTCACCATTAAGATTGTTGCTATTGTTTGGTGACTAATTGCTTTTTTGGTTCCTAATTTTAAATCCACAGGTAAAATTTCATTTTCATAGATATTTTAATCGGGTTGTTCGAGTATGGGATGAAAAACACAGTTGCTATGATTGTAATTTCCCTGTTTTAGTTCAATTCCGTATTGAGATCTATTAAAAGCAACAACCTGCCAATTGGTTAAAGCGGTGGGGACTACAGTTGTTTGCTCTCTGTTTATTCCCCCCATTCCCTTCTGCCCTCTCCCAGAGGTGGTTCTTTCTGTTGGGGTACTGTATTACAGGTGTTGGCAACACTCTGTGACCCTCTGCCGGGTCTTGAAGGGGCGTATTGGATGGCTATTCAGCTGAGTGTGGGAAGAATCAGAGGTGCTGTTGATCCTGTTTTTCCCTGTTGTTTCACTTCTGCAAGGTGTGGGGATTACTGAGCAGTACCAGGAGCCCTCGCTTGAAATTCTGTGTTAACGTTAACACTGGTTAAACAGCCACATGTAACTCACTCTGAGATAGTAAGAACTGCTAATGCTGGAGTCAGAGATAACACAGTGTGGAGCTGGAGGAGGACAGCAGGGCCAGGCAGCATCAGAGGAGCAGGAAAGCTGACGTTTCGGGTCGGGACCCTTCTTCAGAAATCAGAGATGAACGGCTGTGTATTTCCAGCATTTTCTTTTTTATTCCCATTTTCAATGCTTGCAGGTTTCTTTAAAGTCTAGGAAGAACCCTCCTCACTAGTTGGAGTTGTCTTGGCTTTACAGTTGCAGCCAATTGTTTCTTTTAGTTTTTATTTCTGCTCCTGTGTAGGAGCTATACGTGCACGTTCTGTAACAATCTATGTCTTTGGTACATAATAATGAATTCAAACATTGAAGTTGCTTGTTTATATATTTTTAACCTGATTGTTTAGGAACTCTGCAGTGGTCTTTGAGCATTTTCTTTCATGCAATAGAGAAAGAAGTATATACAATTTTATAGCATCTTGTTTGACCTTATGAGGCCGTAAGACTTAGGTGCAGAAGTAGGCCATTCAGCCCGTCAAGTCTGCTTTGCCATTCTATGAGCTCCTGGCTGATCTGATAACTCTCCAAACCACTTTCCTGACTTTTTCCCCATAACCCTCCATTCCATATAAACTTTACAGCCATTGAACTATAGTCACTGCTGTAATGGTGTGCACGTCATTCACAGATGTGGTCATGTTGTTAACTTGCTTCAGTTAACACATGAATACCGTGATCCACCAATTAATGCACCTGTATCCTGACTGTGAGAGTGGGATGCATATTTCAAAATGAACGCTCAGATCGAATGCATTAATTAACACTTCCCATGTCCAGTTATAAATATTTATTTTTCTCACTGATCACATTGACAAGACTGCAACAGGTTAAGAATAGAGATAGTAGGAACTGCAGATGCTGGTGAATCTGAGACAACAAGGTGCAGGGCTGGATGAACACAGCAGGCCAAGCAGCATCATAGGAGCAGAGAGGCTGACGTTTCGGGCCTAGACCCTTCATCAGAAAAGGGGGAGGGGAAGGGGGTTCTGAAATAAATAGGGAGAGAGGGGGAGGCGGATAGAAGATGGACAGAGGAGAAGATAGGTGGAGAGGAAACAAACAGGTCGAAGAGGCGGGGATGGAGCCAGTAAAGGTGAGTGTAGGTGGGGAGGTAGGGAGGGTATAGGTCAGTCCAGGGAGAACGGACAGGTCAAGGGGGCGGGATGAGGTTAGTCGGTAGGAGATGGAGGTGCGGCTTGAGGTGGGAGGAGGGGATAGGTGGGAGGAAGAACAGGTTAGGGAGGCAGGGACGAGCTGGACTGGTTTTGGGATGCGGTAGTGGGAGGGGAGATTTTGAAACTTGTGAAATCCACATTGATACCATTGGGCTGCAGAGTTCCCAAGCGGAATATGAGTTGCTGTTCCTGCAACCTTCGGGTGGCATCATTGTGGCACTGCAGGAGGCCCAGGATGGACATGTCGTCTGAGGAATG